CCCCAAAACCCCAAAACCCCAAAACCCCGCATGCATTGAATTAGCTAAAAGTAAAAAAATAAATATTGTATGACTTATCTAAGCTTAATCTAAATATATCCATTAACTTGAGCAATAAAAACAAACTTGAATGATTTATTTTTGACGATTGTCATTTTCAGCCATTCATTATATCTTAAAGTCTTCATTACAAATAATGAGTCTGATTTCCAACAGTGTACTTCATGGGAGATGGAATAATTTTCCAAAGATTTTGTCTGCAAACTTAGAAGTCTACATTTATATTGATTTTATCTCTTGTAACAGATTTGGTATTCACCACACCGAAAGTTTTATCATTATCTCTATATTCATTTATAGTTTCCCTCATCAATGATGAGTCAGTGTATCTATGAATTCGCATTTCTCTCTCAGTGCTTACCTCTCTAACCGGAGATATTTTCTTATCTCCTCTAAGCAGCTATGTCATTGAATCAGTTCTTGACAATAAAGAAATCCTTTTTCCTTTCGGTGCTTAACTCGATTGCCTTTTAATATCTGGTGTTTTAAGGTATTCAGTTTCATCAAAAACAAGTTTCTTAGATAACCCAGATATCACAGCCTATTGCAATAAATTGGATAAATAATAATTACATTTTTATACTCAGGGATAGGTTCTATCTAATTAAGGGTTGACTAATTGCACAAGGCAGTTCTGACAGGCTTTGTAAACTTTATAATGCAAGTACTTTTGCTTGGATTTAATTTAAGCTGCTCTAAATCCTGATCAGCATTCTATGGTGTTTGAAATTCTCTGTTTTAAATGATGTTGTAGGAAGATTTTTGCTATCTATTTTTGAAATTTCTAACTCTGTCTGCAAGCACAGGCTTTAGATATTTTATTGATTATCTCTATATATGCTGTTATTAGCAATAAACGAACTTACCTCGTTTAGAGTAGAATAAATAGTTTGCCTGCAGGTTGGGGTTCTATGGTTAAGATCGATCCTAGAAGAAGAAATTGGTGTCTCCGGAGCAGTTGATTTTTTATCAAACCTAAAGTATGAACTTGCTATTGATGAGTTCTTTGGAGATTAATTTTTCATTGAAAATTATTATCAAAATAAAAATTAACATTAACATTAAACCTTTAATTCAATCATCATTTTACAAGCAAATAATATTGATTTTTAGAATTAACTTATGAAATTAAGGAATTTACCGATAAAGTTCAACATTAACAAGGGATTTGAAATATAACTCAAATTTCATATCTCTCTGGCCTTATTGGATCTATTACAGTCAAATCTTTGTCTTTGTTATGGCCTAGATCCTTCAATAACTCATCTCTTATTAACTCTGCATTTCTGATATAAGTTTCAATTCTATGGTCTTAGCATCCAAAGTTTAAATACAAATTCTTGTATCTAAAGCATTTTCCCAGCACTGGAGCAGCATCAGGAACCAAGAAGGAATATTTACCTATTAAACATTATCTAGACAACGCTTCTTTCTTATCAGAGTTGAGAGATTTTGACAACAATTCAGTAGAGTATCTAATCATTGGAATGATATGTCTTATGTATCTAAATACTTAGATTGAATATTGTGAGCTGCACATTACGTAGTAGTCTGCTCTTAATGATTTTAACTCTGGCGAGTCAACTTCACAATGACCTATCTTATTTCCAAAGCCATGAATAAAAGGCACTTCTCCGTGGATGTACTTTACATGAGGACACGATTCTCTAAAATATTTAGTTGCTTCATGACCCTCAATTAATAAATTAATGCTACCAAAGAAATCTTTAAGCTCAATGTCATATTATCCCTCAGGTTTCAGTCCTTTATTGTGATCATAATTATACTTTCTCCATTTGAATAGCTTGGTGTAGAAATATTTAATAAAAATCTTTTCCCTCAACTTACTTCTGTACATATCATTTATCCAGTTCCAAGCAAAGCTGATTTTCCCCATTCTACCTTCTTGCTTATCATGATTATAGAGGTTCTCAGTATGAGTCTTGTCTCCATAAATTAGGTAAAATTCTGTATTTAATTCTTTTAAGATCTTGTCATTTGCTAGTATATATGCCATTATCAAAGTATCACCCCCATCGCCATATATTAAAATCCTATTTGTTTTGATGATTTGTTCACTTTATATGTTTTAGGTTTGGGATTCCTCAGCTAAAGCTTTGCTTTGAATCTAATTCTTAAGAATAAAGGAAGCCGACAATGCTATAAGAGATGATTTAATTAAACTCATTTTGATTTATTAATGGCTAAAAATTGCTTCAATCTATCATAAGGGGTTTTGGGGTTTTGGGGTTTTGGGG